CTTCTTAATAGCTCATGGTCATGCAATCCTTTTCCCTCCATTTCTCCACCCTGTCAGAATCCTGGGCACACACACACACACACACACGTACCTGGCTGCTGAGGGCAGGGTTCTAAACTCAGTCAGCCATGTGGGATCTGGCACTTAACCACTGTACTGCAGGTTGGCCCTTCTGTGTTTCTTCTGACCATTAGTTTACCCCTGGCTTTTCCTCCATGGTGTAGAGAATTTCCTGGTTGGGAGGAGTCCTCCTTTTTGCCCTTGCCCTTAAGGGTAGACAGCAGCTAGCTGGGCATGGGAAGATTACTTTGGAGAAACTGCATCACAGGGCCCCAGAGCTGAGGACCCCAGGCCTGACTTGGGGTGAGAGTAGGGGAAGATGGAGAAGAGAGGGTAGGAAGTGCCTGGTTGAAAATGGGGAGGACATGAATGTCCAGGTACTGAAATGTGTGGACCTAGGTGCCCTTTTACTGCTGCAGCGAGGATGTCTCCTACCCCTCCCCAAGGAAGGGCAGGTGAGGATTCGTCGCTGGAGAGAAATCCAAAAAGAAAAAACCCACAGAGTGACTTTTGGGGTCGAGGCCGGACCACCCTGCAGTCAAGCAAACCCCAGTTGGCTAGCATCCTCCCACCCCAATGCACACAGAGCTCCCAGTGCACGTTACCTTTACTTTACTTAAAATCATCTGATCTCCAGGCCAGTAGATGGCATAGCAGTTATGCTGCTGGACTCCCATATGGCTGATCGTGGTTTGAACCCCAGACCCAGTGGCTTGAAATTCATGCTGGGCACATGTGCCCGAGATCCTGGGAGGAAAATGGAGAAGAGATTGTGGCACGGCCATCTCACCTGGGGGGTAATTTCTCAGGTTCCCTCTCAGTGTGTCTCTCCCAGCATGTGCATATGCACTAAAGCGAAAACCTCTCAAAAAAAACAAACAAACAAACAAACAAAAAACTGACTTTTCATAACACCCTTTCTTTCCCCCAGCTCTCTACTTTTTATTATTAAAGACTGAGGACAATGAGGAACCAAGAGAGCAGAGCAATAGAAAACCCTGGGGTTTGTTTTATATATTTTGCTTTTTTACAACACACAGTTTGTTCTCATCCAGACGGGCTACTCTCCAACTCTAGCTCCTAACCATTCCAGGTCCCTTCCCTTGAAAGACTCCATCTTTCATGCCTGCTTTCTAGAAGCATCCACAAGCACATCCACACTGTTCTCAGCTGGAACCTCGAAAGATGTGGGAGCGCCCTCTCAGCACCTAAGATCTAACTGCTAAGGGTCCATCTCCCCAGGATGGCTAGCACAGTTCCCCAGGGGTCCGGCCAGCTCAGAACAGTGCTAAGGTTAGTACCCGCCCATGCTAGAGGAGGGTGAGATGGGTGTTGTTCCACCTCAGATCCTCAGGAGTGAAGACTGTGGGCGAGCACAGCAAGCACAGAGCAAAGGAAAACTGAGGTGATCAGGAGGGAGAGGGCATCACGAGCTGACACCGACTGAGCCCTCTCCTGTCAGGCCTGTTCCAAGCATCTTTTAGGTATTCATTCATTTAGTCCTTGCTATAGCACAATGAGGCGAGCACCATGACTATCCTCATTTTATTTATTTACTTTTTTTTCCTTTTGCCAATGACCGTATGCGCTCACCCAAGAGTGAGACAGAGAGAAAGCCCTCCCCCACGCCCCCCCACGCCAATAGTCATGCTGCCATCTTCTCTCCTCCATTTCTCCATCTTGTCAGGATTTGGGGCTCGCATGCACACACACCTGTCACATTTTTCAAGCCTTTAGGGCTGGGATTCGAACCTCAGATAGTGATGGAGGATCCAGCTTTTCATGCACAGCACTTACTTGTTGTACTACCAGGCCAGCCCATTATCTGTTGTTTTTGTTTTGTTTTGTTTTTAAATAAAGAAGTCGGGCTCAGGGAGATTAAATAACTTGGCCTTGGTCAACCTGATAGAAAATGAAGGAACAGAGTTTGAAATCAGACTCCGATCATGGAGACAACAGTACACACAAAAAGCAAAGCAGTTTATATTTTTTAAAAGGGATCAGAGTAGGATATAATTTTTTTAAAAAATGAAAGAAAGAAACTGTCTGGAAATGAATTGAGAGATTGGTAGAATGAAAAGAAGCATTCACAGGAGAGTAGGCGCGTCAGGGCTGGCCTCCTAAATGCTTCAAAGGCGCCTCCATGTGTTTAATCAGACAGGATGGTCTGGCGGCCCACAGTGGCCAACAGGTTTTTTCCTCATAGGTAACCAGAGAACACAGAGTACACAAAATGTAAATGCCAGTGATGGGATGGTCTAGAATGAAAAAGGAACTCCTTTTTAATCTGCCCTCTTCCCAAAGAGAATTAATCAACAAGCCAATTAAAAACTTCCTCAGCCTGATTATACGCAATCCCAAAGAGGTCCTGGCCCTAGACCAATATTACCCAATAGAAATATAATGTAGGCTTCAGAGTCAGCCACGCAGCCTGTGGTTATGGGAACCAGATCCCACATGGACAAACATGCTAAGCACATGTGCACACATACCCAAAATCCCAATGGGATGGAGAAATGGAGAAGGGATTGTAGCATGACCACTCCTCATTAAGGGGTGCTTTCTCTCTCTCTCTCTCTGTGGGAGTGTATGTACACCTCTGACAATTAAAAAAGAAGAAATATAATATTGACATCTGTAATTTTAAATTTTCTAATAGCCATATTAAAAAGGTACAAAGTAACAGGTGAAATTAACTTTACTAACATTATTTAGTTCAACACAGCCAAAATATTAGGTCATCAGGAAAATCATGACATATTTTTCTATGCAAAAATGCATCATGACTTTCCTGATAAACCAATATTATAATTCCAACATGTAATAAATATAAAAAAATAGTAATAAGGCATTTGAATATTCCTTTCCCCAAACTATGTTTCCAAAATCTTGCAACATTTCTCCATTTAAACTAACCACATTTCAAGTGCTCAGTAACCACACATGGTTGGTGAGCAGGAAAGCTGTCTCAGTTACAACGTGCAAGCAGAGTTCACGAACGCAAGGTAGAGAAAGCTCAGTGCTGTGTCATGGTAGAGGTTCCAAG